CCCTCAAAGATTCTTTAAGTCTTATGATACACTTAATAACAATAAAAAATTGCGCCTTACTAAAGCAGACAAAATAAATGCAATAGTAATTATGAAAGAAAATGATTACCAAGAAAAAATGAATAATCTCTTAGATGATACTGAAACCTATTCTAAACTTAGGAAAAATCCCCTAGAAACCGTTAACAGCAATTTCAATAAAACTTCTACTGAAAGGCAAAGATGAATTAGTCAAACAATTTACTTCTTATGATACACTTAATAACAATAAAAATTTGCGCCTTACTAAAGCAGACAAAATAAATGCAATAGTAATTATGAAAGAAAATGATTACCAAGAAAAAATGAATAATCTCTTAGATGATACTGAAACCTATTCTAAACTTAGGAAAAATCCCCTAGAAACCGTTAACAGCAATTTCAATAAAACTTCTACTGAAAGGCAAAGATGAATTAGTCAAACAATTTACTTCCACTAATCCATCTTTACTTTACATGTATGGACTAGTCAGACCAATTATTAGCTCCATAGGGTCAGTTTCATATAAATTATCCAAATGGCTTGTTGATATTTTGAGCCCTATTGTTGGCAAAATTTCTAACTTTAATGTTAAAAACAACATAGACTTGGTTGATAAATTAAGCTCCTTGACTGACTTAAATGATTTTAACATGGTTAGTTTTGATGTTACTTCCTTGTTTACGAAAGTTCCTGTTGATGATTTATTAAGTTTCTTATCTGAAGAACTCGTTAACTATGATTTACCATTGCCAGTTCCTACTCTCATTAAACTTATTAAACTTTGCATTGTTGATGCAAAATTTGTATTTAATGATAAGTTTTACACTCAGAAGTTTGGTACGGCAATGGGAAATCCTCTTTCACCTGTTCTTAGTAACCTATACATGGAATTTTTTGAAACAAGGTTGCTTAACACAATCCTCCCTAAGAGCTAAATGGTTCAGATATGTTGATGATATTTTGTGTCTTATGCCCAAAAATGTAGATATACACCATTTCCTTGGAAAATTAAATAACTTAGCCCATTCTATAAACTTCACTGTTGAGTTTGAAGAAAATAACTCATTGCCTTTTCTAGATGTTTTAATTATTAAGGGTAATAATGAATTCAAATTTAAAATTTACAGAAAACCTACAAATAACTGTTCATATGTCCACTATTATTCCTCGCATCAAGATAGAGTCAAACTGTCTGTTTTCTCATCAATGTTTTTGAGAGCTTTACGAATTTGTAGTCCTGAGTTCATAGATGAAGAAATATCCAAAATTTATGAAATAGGCAAAAATTTAAAATACCCAAGAAATGTAATTGATAAATCTTTTAAAGTTGCTAGAAATACTTTTTACAATCCAAAAAGGGACAACCAGCCTTATTCAACTAAAAATATGTTGGTTCTCCCTTACCATGAAAACTTGGTTGATATGCCTTCTCTTCTTAAGACTTTTAATATTAAAGTTGTATTCAAAAATCTTGATACAGTAAAAAAAAACTTTTGATAAAGAATTCCCACCAAAATGCTGATGGATGTGTCTGTAAGATTCCTTGTAAAATTTGCGATAAAGTTTATTACGGTCAAACTGGTAAAAATCTCGAACTAAGATTAAAACAACATAAATATAGCATTAGAACTGGACAAGATTCCAATGCTCTATTTATTCATGTAAGAGATTTTAACCATCCAATTGATTTTCAAAAAGTTGAGAAAGTAGTATCAAGCAAGTCCATGGTCGACAGGAATATAATTGAATCTTGTTTCATAAAAATCAGTTTTGACAATAATATGAATATTTCCTTTGGTTTATATAAATTAGATCCATTTATAATTAATAGAATTTGGGAAGAATTTAATAATACACTGGACAAATATAATTTTTAAATTTTCTTGGGTAGAATAGTTTGTTGGTGAGTTGTGCAAAGGACCTGTCCAGTTGGGCAGGCGCACGTCAGGTGTTTTGTAAACCGTTTTGCTCTGGATCTACTTAGTTGCTGAATGTTGAGGTCCGAAAGCGCCTTGAATATACTATTCCTTGGATGTTTATTTCATATTGCATTTTATGACATGTTATAGTCACTAATAGCGTTTGAATATTTCTATATTTAATGTTTATTTTGCATATTCTAAATAACTATTTACTGTATTTATTGTATATATAAAAATATATATATATTATATATATATATATATATATATATATATATATATATATATATAATATATATATATATATAATAATATATATATATATATTAGTCAGTGAAACAGGTTATAGAAATTTCTCATCATGAGTTCTGTGCAGAATAGAAGCTGTGTATGTGGCTTCACGACTGAGATGGGTTAGTGGTCCCTTGTTCAATCATGAGTACATCCTAGGTTCTGAATTACCGGAAGTATTTATAACCAAGTGCAAGTCTGCCGTCAGCAACGTTCGTCAGTCTTTTCAGATTTAAAGTTGCTCCATGAATGTGCTTGTCTTGGTTCGTGTTATTGTGGGTTACATATCTACTCTGTCTTGTAACTGTATTCCGCTGACATTTCTGTTCAGCATTTAACTATTTTACAATATATCTAATATGTGACACAGATATACCAATGTCATATTCCAGCTTTTTCAAAATACTTTACATAATGCGTGTCTCGAGCATGATTCAAGACGGATCGAATGTCTTAAGGTTCCGATCCAAAGTGCGGATTTGAGGTGAAATATTTCGAGTTCAGTGTTTTCCCGATAATATAAGATTAATTCTCTCTTACACACAGCTACACGACCCAGCGAGGTGCCACACATGATGGAGAACTCACCGACAGAGAATAGATTTTTAAGCGAGAAGAACATTTCTAAACACTGAAGTTTAATGCGAATCTCATAAGAGTGCATTTGTAGGAGAATTCTTAGGAAATATATACCGGATGGAAGACTTTGTCAACAAGTATAACATAGAAACTTGATGCACAGCAAACCTAAATTCGGTGCCGTATCAGCTGGGCTGTGGTTCGTACGTTGGACTACGTGCGGCCAACAGTAACAGTCTCGTTGATCAGGCCCTGATCCACCGGAAGGCCTAGTCGTCGACCGGGCCGCGGGGCCTAGACCCCAGAAATAACCTCCAGGTAGACTGCAGGTATTAAGGGCTTCTCTACTTCTAGTAACAGTGGATACTGTTCAGGAACCAGAACTCACCTATACGGACCTTAGATGTTGCAGAATGTGTCAGTAGTGAACCTAAGACCTGTATATATATATGCCACCATCCGGATGTGGCATTTTTGAGATGTGTCATCATCACATCCATCTCTCAACTGTCCTTCATTTGTTTCCATTTATTTTGTATTTTTCTCCTCTACACATTTTTGTGGTGATGATAGAACGTTATTATTGTAATGTTCAGCGATTTGTGTTTAAGAGAAATATAAATTTTCCCTTTGAAAATGCTAGTATATGGGCCACTCATCCAAAAATATATAAATGCACTATAGATCTAAAAAATTGGCCTTAAGAGGGTTATATTGCTGACAGTTTTGTTATTTGTTTAACCGTTTAAAGTTTCTGTTTTTCTATTAAACGTTTCTGTTAATCTGTTAAAGGTTTCCTCCTGTCTGTTAAAAATTTGTTAATCTCATCAAAATTTTTGTTTATTCATATTAAAGAAAGTGGAAATAAAGTTGACAGCAGATTGTGACCAATACTGCATGTGACCAATACTGCATGTGACCAATACTGCATGTGACCAATACTGCATGTGACCAATACTGTATGTGACCAATACTGCATGTGACCAATACTGCATGTGACCAATACTGCACGTGACCAATACCGCATGTGACCAATACTGCATGTGACCAATACTGCATGTGACCAATACTGCATGTGACCAATACTGCATGTGACCAATACTGCACGTGACCAATACCGCATGTGACCAATACTGCATGTGACCAATACTGCATGTGACCAATACTGCATGTGACCAATACTGCATGTGACTAATACTGCATGTGACCAATACTGCATGTGACCAATACTGCATGTGACCAATACTGTATGTGACCAATACTGCATGTGACCAATACTGCATGTGACCAATACTGCATGTGACCAATACTGCATGTGACTAATACTGCATGTGACCAATACTGCATGTGACCAATACTGCATGTGACCAATACTGCATGTGACCAATACTGCATGTGACCAATACTGCATGTGACCAATACTGCATGTGACCAATACTGCATGTGACCAATACTGTATGTGACCAATACAGTATAACTATCATATAGAATATGGTAGCGGCACACTGCCGATGTGTCCAGTTTTACTCAATAAAATAAAATATATATTGATCACGTGACAGGTTACTGGTGCCCAGGTTAATTAATAAATCTCAGTCATTGTTTATCTACACAATTAGTCATTAAAATTATACAATAAAATTGAAGATGGGAAAATCAACACAACTTTGCTAAATCATTTAATGTGCAGGAAAAGAAACGTAATATATAAGTGTGCATATTTTTTTTTTAATAAACAACTGTGGGTGTAGAAGACACCTGAATCTGTGTCCGTCACCAGAGTGATAGGAGCATTGTGTCTAAGAGGGTGTCACCAGAGTGATAGGCGCATTGTGTCTAAGAGGGTGTCACCTGAGTGACAGACACATTGTGTCTAAGAGGGTGTCACCAGAATGATAGACACAATGTGTCTGAGAGGTTGTCACCTGAGTGACAGACGCACTGTGTCTAAGAGGGTGTCACCAGAGTGATAGACACAATGTGTCTAAGAGGGTGTCAGGGTGTCACCTGAGTGACAGACATAATGTTTCTAAGAGGGTGTCACCAGTGTGATAGACACAACGTGAAAGTCTAAGAGAATGTCTTCAAGTTCTCCTCAGGCAGATTTTAGCAGAAATAGCAAAGAAAAACAGGTAATGGAGAAAGGGCATGAGGGAATCCTTGCAAGTGTTCTCAGGGAGTTGCAGTTTTTCTTTGGGAGTCGCAAGTGTTCTCACTGCGTTGCAAGTGCTCTCAGCGAGTTGCAGACAGCGCTCTTCGGGTGTTCTGACACTTCAGTTGGGTTATTCATTCTGGTCGAGGCAGTCCTTGACAAGCTGGTACTGAAAATAAAAGGAGAATATTGTCACGTATTCTGTGTCCTGTTATAGAAGTCGTGGGAAAGATATTGAATCCTCTATAATCCACAAAGTAAAGGCTTATGATACGAGGCACAAAGGAGGCAGATAACACTCATTATAAAACCTAGAATATAAATCACTCTTTCATTCTCTAATATTCTTTGCCCATTATTCTGTCTACTAATTCTCGGAAAAACATGTAAACAAAGTCATATACTTGACCTTGAATTTCTGCTGCTTTCTCGGCTTTTAATCCCAGGAAGCCGCGAGTTGTGAAAATTTGCTTCATGTATGGCTGGGTAGTGATGCCACAGCGTTGTCTTCACACACACACACACACACACACACACACACACACACACACACACACACACACACACACACACACACACACATACACACACACACACACACACACACACACACACACACACACACACACAGTGGTAGACCACAGTGGTAGACCACAGTGGTAGACCACTAGCAAAAGCTTCACACATTAAAAATTAAACAAGAAAATTGATGAATAATTTATTGAAGCCGAGGCTCCACGAGCATACCTCTGCTCCTGTAGCAGCTAATGAACTATAGTAGACTACAGCAGACTACAGTATACACAATAGACTCACCATATTCGACTTGGTCTTGAAGCAGTCCGTCAGAGCTTCTATCTTGCTACACACGGTGTCTTTATTGGCAGGAATAATTTGGTTCAGAAATGCCATATACGTCTTGAGGTCAGCTGCCAGAAAAGAAGTTATTGAGATTATTATAAAAAATGATATTTCATTTCGTAAAGCTCAGGTATCAGGGCGAGAATTTTTGTTAGACGCCGTTTCGCCCTATATATATTTTATGAAATTTAGACTTAATGAAACCCTCTTTACGACGAAATCTTGTTTAATAAAGCACAAGTTAGGGCGAAATGTTGTCTTAAAGAGCATTCTTTAGGACTAAATGTTGTGTAAAGTACTGCTATTTAGGGTGAACTATTGTGAAAAAGGTCTATTTTGGGCGAAACGTCGTGTAATAAAAGGCTTACACTGCCTCATATCAAACCATACCACGGGTGGGGTTTGTTTGCAGTCGTGTCATTACGATTTCGTGAGTCACTGCTTCCTATGTTATATATTTTTAATTTGAGCTACTCGACACTCACTACGATTCAATATTCGTAAAGTATTTACTAATAAAACTTATCGTACAAGAGATAATGAAACTTTATTACTTGCTGATGTCTAACGACATAAGTGATGGTGAAACTTTTCTACTTTATTACGACTAATGACATGAAGAATAGTGAAATTTCTCTAATGACACGAATGACAGTGAAATTTTCCTGTTTTGTTAAGACTAATGACACCAACGATAATGAAATATTCCTAATAACACGAATGACAGTGAAAATTTCGGACTTTGTTACGACTAATGACACCAACGATAATGAAATATTCCTAATAACACGAATGATATTGAAAATTTCGGGCTTTGTTACGACTAATAACAGGAATAGTGATTTTTTTCTGCTTTATTCCGCTTAATGAGGGGGAAGAATAGTGAAATATTATGCGCACCTTGGTCTGCAGGAGTAATGTTGATGCTGGCGATAGACGTCATGCATTCTGCTGAGGCTTCGATAATATTCTTCGTAACTTCGTTGTCATCGTATAAGTTTCTCTTGCACTGCTCTATTTCCTCTTTCTTGCTCTCGCACTCTTTCTCTGATATCTCCACGCTGGCGCACAGTTTATTTCCTGAGGAAGAGAATTGGTGATACTGAGAACTGTGAGATCACTGTGAGGAAGTTAAAGAACTGGACACAAGAATGAGAGAAATTTTTGTTTAGGCTTCAGTGAGAGAATTAAAGGTTTGAGCTAGAGGGAGGAAAGCTCTCAAGGATCACAACTAAGAGAAGCTCTGAAGGATCACAACAAAGAGAAGCTCTGAAGGATCACAACAAAGAGAAGCTCTGAAGGATCACAACTAAGAGAAGTTCTCAATGATCACAACTAAGAGAAGCTCTCATGGATCACAACCGGAGAATCTATCATGAAAATGAGAGAACACTGCTGACCTTTGCACATGATATAGTTAAACATTTGGCTGACGCCAGTTAGCTTCACTGTAACATTTCTTACCCGTGTACTACACACTAGCCAGCAACACTCAATAAATTCGCCATCAAGTTCAGCTAATCTGTTCCATAACTTTACATAAATAAGTACACTATCATGGCACCTGTACTCTACACTCCAGCACAATTACACAATTTCCAAAATTGCCTAAAAGTTGCTCTTCTTATTTTGACTCACAAATCAGAAGGTTGGGAAGCCATTGTCTGACTTTAATTTGGTATCCTATGTTAATTCTACCTAATGTATTATTTTACATGTTCGAAATATTGTAAAAAAAAATGTATGTTAAATTTGTAGTACCTAAATATAAACTTGCTTAATTTTGAACCTTCGTAAGTTGAAGAGTTGCTACAGATGTATTAGTGTCGGTAACTTACTTAGAGTTTGTTTCAATGTCTCATTCAAACAGATATCAAATGGGTTGTTGTCCGGGGGTGGGGCAGCACCGACTAGCAGCACCAGCAGCGTCGCCGTCAGGATGAGATAAGTCAACAGCTTCATGATGGATCACCTAGCACGCTAATGGAAGGAAAGACAGGATGATAATATAATGGAACCCTCAGTTCTTGAAGGGTTCTGGACCCAAGAAATTGGAGCTGCTCTCACTTTCTTGGCTTAATCCTAATTATTTCCCATTCGCAGGTGCTGTATGACACCTTCGAGTCTGGTGCTTTCCCCAGATATAATTCAGTAATACTCTAGAAATGGGAACCATATGCAATGTTCACTTGTTGTAACGGAGTACGTCTGTATGTGAGTTATATTAAAAATTAGTGTAGCTTAAAGTTGTGTAGAACCCAGAGCTCACCTGTGTCAAGTCTGAAGGTTAGAGGACGGGAATGAGCAGAGACACTCGCTGGCTGTGTATATATATACTTCTTTCCGGATGTGTTCTGAGAGCTGTCATCATGGCGTATAAGTTTCAACTATCCTTGAAGCTTGTTTTAAAATTGCTCCCATGTCCACTTCTCTGGCTTGTTGTTAAGGCATGACTCCCGGCCATGGCAGGATGTTATTCATCTTTGTCTTCAAGAATTGTATATGTTTAGTTGTGAAGCAGTTCCGAGTGGCATGAATAGGCAAGTTTTGAGACCCATAATGTTTTTGAAACGCCAAACATGCCAACAAGTATGGTAAAAAGGCTACATGGAGACCAGTACTTTAAATCTTATGTGGAGGAAAGCAGATCACACAGTCGTACAGTTGGGTCAATCAAATTAACAGAGAGAAATAGTGTGAATCACTCAGGACAATCGTCACTCATCTTAGAGGGAAAATGTTTTGTCATGCTGGAAGTGTGACAGCTGCAAGACCAAGACTGTGTTGTTTTTTTTGTTTAGACATCTTAAAGTCCACTGTGTGGGCGAAACGTAGTCAATAAACAATCGTATTATAATGCATTTATGTTTATTTTTCTATCGTGTCGGTATTTTATGCCATTTATCTCAATGATAGTTGATATTATAAGAAGTCATCTTAATAAAAATACGTTACTATTTATTTGGATTTTAGTAAAGCTTTTGAGAGAGTATCACACAAAAGACAATAATAAAAAAAGGTGGCAGTTCATGGTACTGAGGTTAAAAGTCATGTAATGGATCGAGTCATGATTCACCAACAGAAAGCAAAAGAGTCTTCGGAAATCGGGTTAAATCTGAATAGGATATCACTCACAAGTGGCGTTCCACAAGGATCAGTTTTAGACCCATTGTTGTTCATAATATATATTAATGGCCTTCACGAGGGAATAACAAGTGATATAAGCAAATCGTTGAAAAGGTGAAAGTATCAAGGAGTGTTGTTTATAGGGTGGCATTAATTATTAACAATGGAGGCAATAACCACAGACTCGCCCCAAAACGAGCTGGTAAAAGTGGTAGGAAAAATATAACAACTCCAAGAAAAGACCGACTTACTGAGAAGAAGTTCCTTATCAATAGAAGATTGATGGAATGTAACATCTGAAGAACGTCTTTCATGGAAGTGTGAAGCATTTTTGTTAGGTATAATAATAGGTTTTATGCAGAGAAAGAGATTTAATAATGCGATTTGTAGTGATTATTCAGTGTGTTTCTCAGCATTTTAATGTCAATAACAGATAAGTTTAGTTATTCTACCAATAACACTGGAACATCAAGCTCCTTTCTAATATTATGGAAGTTATTCGTTTCAGGAAAGCCAAAAAAAAAAAAAAACAATAAAAAATAGCATTCCTTTGCACCAGCTCCAAGGGTCGAAGATATTTTCCTTTAGGTTAATATTAATGTAGGTGCAACACAATATATTAACGATTTAATAAAGATAATGTACAGTGGAACCTCTGGTTACGACCATAATTCGTTCGAAAACTCTGGTCGTGAACCGATTTGTTCGTGTTCGGAAGCGTTAGTAACCAGAGGTTCCACTATATGTTTCTCACTGCTCTTACAGCAGCACAACATGTGGGTTTGTAGCCAAGAACACCTCTTGAGAACATTTAGAGTGTTTACCTTTCTTATTTATCTGCCTTATGATGGGTGTATTGAAAAGTACATCTGAACGAAGATATATATGATTTAACGTTTCTGACGAGTTTACCCTGCGAGTAAATTAATGGAGCATTTAGCTTGTTGCTATCCTCAACTAACATGAGGATATGACAAGGCTTAGTCGATAACTAATTATTTCAACGTCATTAAGAATGATACTGATTTCTTGACTTTCTGTTGTATGAATTATGATGCCATTAGCGTAGGTTACAGCGATATGTTTGGATCAGGAAAGCAGAGAATTTAGAAAATCATTTGTTATTTTACATTAATTCTCACTGGTTTTTTATTGCTGTCCTAATATTTCTGCCCTGAGACTGTTAGGCTATGATAAAGTTAGAAGATGTGATATACACACACATATATATATATATATATATATATATATATATATATATATATATATATATATATATATATATATAATATATATATATATATATTATATATTATATATATATATATATATATATATATATATATATATATATATATATAATATATATATATATATATATATATTATATGCAAAAACCACTCTGAAAAAATAGAGAAATTCCAAGCGCTTTCGTGACTACTCACATTATCAAGTTCCTTGATAATGTGAGTAGTCACGAAAGCGCTTGGAATTTCTCTATTTTTTCAGAGTGGTTGTTTTGCATATTCCGAAATCACCTGTTTACTGTGATCTTATTGTATATATATATATACATATATATATATATATATATATATATATATATATATATATATATATATATATATATATATATATATATATATATATATATATATATATATTAGTCAGTGAAACAGGTTAGTGAATTCCTCATCATGGGTTCTGTGGAGAACAGAAGCTGTGTATGTGGGTGGCTTCACGACTGAGATGGGTTAGTGGTCCCTTGTTCAATCATGAGTACATCCTAGGGTCTGCCGTCCCACCCTAGATTAATTGAAATGATTGTGTACGTACCTCTATTCCATACAGAAGGCAGTGTAATAGACCGTGGCTTCTCCAGGTCTATGGTGCAGGTTTTAGCTCACTCTTACATGTAAATCCAATGAACAAGTGAGCATTTACTACCCCCGGGGTAAAGTGATTAAGCTGTGGGGGTACTTAGGAATACCTGTGCAGAGTCACGGACCACGGTCTGGTTTTATAGCGAGTTTATCAAGGTGATATATCCGAGTCGAGGAGGTAATGAATAATCCACGATGTCCTGGGAAATTGTCCCGTGTTGTTCACTCCTCAAGCGTGACTGCCACGCCAGACGCGGTTCAGGTCTCCCGTCGCCGCTTCTTGGCCAGAGACTGCCTGCAGCCTAGGTAGTAATGGTAGTACATAAGGTATCGTCCCCTCTCTTCCCAAGATCAGGAGAGTATAGGTAAGACCCTAATGGGGTGAGCGGGGAAGTGGGAATAGTGGAAGGGATAAACTCCCTTCCATACATTTCCCCATCGGGATGGAGGATGTATAACAGTTAGTTAGAAAATTCAGTAAGAACTCATTTAAAATTAAGTCCTTTTTAAAATTTTCTCTTATACGTTTAAAGATATATATTTTTTTCATTCATGTTAATATAAAAATTAATAACTTTGTAGTAAAGGAATCTTACAAGACTTACCTAACCTTATCATAACAAGCGCAATTTAATTTAACATAATCCAACTAAATATGTTTTAGATTTACAGTAATTTAATAATAAACAAACACAACGAAATATATTTTTATTCGTTAGGCTCAGAATGATTTTGCGAAATTACTGCATACACAAATTTTCGCTTGCCTTATTCGGTAAGAACAGCGTTGCTATTTAAGTTAAAATATACTTCATTGTCTTCTTCTTCTTCTTCTTCTTGTTATGATTATTATTATTATTATTATTATTATTATTATTATTATTATTATTATTATTATTATTATTATTATTGTTACTATTATTATTATTATTAAAACGGTTTCTGATGGCAAAATCGCTACAAAAAATTTGAAGATGTCTACCAGCACATCGTGCTTTGTTTACATGTCATTAACTTTCTCAAGTGAATGTAGGAAGTTAATGATATGTTGACACGTATAGGAGAGTAGTACATCAGTTGATGGTGGAGTAGTAGCCAGTTGATGGTGAAGTAGTAGCCAGTTGATGGTGAAGTAATAGCCAGTTGATGGTGGAGTAGTAGCCAGTTGATGGTGAAGTAGTAGCCAGTTGATGGTGAAGTAATAGCCAGTTGATGGTGGAGTAGTAGCCAGTTGATGGTGAAGTAGTAGCCAGTTGATGGTGAAGTAATAGCCAGTTGATGGTGAGGTAATAGCCAGTTGATGGTGGAGTAGTAGCCAGTTGATGGTGAAGTAGTAGCCAGTTGATGGTGGAGTAGTAGCCAGTTGATGGTGAAGTAATAGCCAGTTGATGGTGAAGTAATAGCCAGTTGATGGTGAAGTAGTAGCCAGTTGATGGTGAAGTAATAGCCAGTTGATGGTGGAGTAGTAGCCAGTTGATGGTGAAGTAGTAGCCAGTTGATGGTGAAGTAGTAGCCAGTTGATGGTGAAGTAGTAGCCAGTTGATGGTGAAGTAATAGCCAGTTGATGGTGGAGTAGTAGCCAGTTGATGGTGAAGTAGTAGCCAGTTGATGGTGAAGTAGTAGCCAGTTGATGGTGAAGTAGTAGCCAGTTGATGGTGAAGTAATAGCCAGTTGATGGTGAAGTAGTAGCCAGTTGATGGTGGAGTAGTAGCCAGTTGATGGTGAAGTAATAGCCAGTTGATGGTGAAGTAGTAGCCAGTTGATGGTGAAGTAATAGCCAGTTGATGGTGGAGTAGTAGCCAGTTGATGGTGAAGTAATAGCCAGTTGATGGTGAAGTAGTAGCCAGTTGATGGTGAAGTAATAGCCAGTTGATGGTGGAGTAGTAGCCAGTTGATGGTGAAGTAATAGCCAGTTGATGGTGAAGTAGTAGCCAGTTGATGGTGGAGTAGTAGCCAGTTGATGGTGGAGTAGTAGCCAGTTGATGGTGAAGTAATAGCCAGTTGATGGTGAAGTAGTAGCCAGTTGATGGTGAAGTACATAAGAACATAAGAATGTACGAACACTGCAGAAGGCCTACTGGCCCATACGAGGCAGGTCCTTATCAAAACGACATCTACCTAAAGCTACTCAAGAAATAACTCCCGTACCCCTTGACACCAATCAAACCCAGCCCCTCCCACTCATATATTTGTCCAGTCTCTTCTTAAAGCTACCCAAGGTCCCAGCCTCTATCACCCCACTGGGGACTGTTCCACGCATCTACAACTCTGTTAGAAAACCAGTACTTACCTATGTCCTTTCTAAATCTAAATTTATCCAACTTAAATCCATTATTCCTGGTTCTTACCTGGTTCGACACCCTCAGTACTTTATTAATATCTCCCTTGTTTATGCCCGTCATCCACTTATACACTTCAATGATATCTCCCCTCATTCTACGCCTCTCCAGAGAGTGGAGATTTAAGGCTTTAAGTCTATCTTCATACGGGAGGTTCCTTACACAGTAAATCATTTTAGACATTCTTCTCTGTATGTTCTCTAATGAGTCTATGTCCATCCTGTAGTAAGGGGACCAAAACTGAGCAGCATAATCTAAATGAGGCCTCACTAGTGATGTATAGAGCTGTAAAATAACTTTTGGACTTCTGTTACTTACACTTATTGAGATAAATCCAAGTAATCTGTTGGCCTTGTTGCACACACTAAGGCACTGCTGTCTTGGCTTTAGATTTCTGCTTACCATGACTCCCAAGTCCTTTTCACATTCTGTATGACCAAGCTCTACTTCACCTAGATTATAGCTTCGAGGGTTATTTTCATTACCAAGGGCAAGTACCTTACACTTATCCACATTAAACTTCATCTGCCATTTTTCAGACCAAGACATTAATTTGTTCAAATCGTCCTGGAGTTCATTGATATCCTCCTCAGAGTGAATTATACGGCCTATCTTTGTATCATCAGCAAACTTACTCATGTCACTAGTAATCCCTTCATCAAGGTCATTAATGTAAATTATGAACAGGAGAGGGCCTAAAACTGATCCTTGTGGAACGCCACTAGTGACTAATCCCCATTCAGATTTCACTCCATTAATGATAACTCTCTGCTTTCTATTGGTAAGCCATGCCTCAATCCATGCTAGAACTTTACCTCCTATACCATGAGCTGCCACTTTTCTTAAGAGTCTCTTGTGAGGTACTCTGTCGAAGGCTTTACTAAAAATCCAAATAAACAATATCATATTCCTTATCACTGTCAACTGCTCAAATGTTCTATTGAAGAACGTCAGTAAGTTTGTCAGGCAGGAACGACCTCTCGTGAATCCATGCTGAGATTCATTTATCAAGTTATGCTCTTCAAGGTGACTTCTGATAATGTCAGCTATAATCGATTCTAATAACTTGCCCACTATAGATGTCAGGCTTATTGGACGGTAATTTGAAGGAGTGGACTTATCCCCTGATTTGAATATAGGAACCACATTAGCCATCTTCCACAACTCTGGCACAACACTGGTAAGGATGGACGCATTGAATACACTCGTTAATGGCTGACTAAGCTCCATCTTGCATTCCTTAAGTACCCTTGAAAACAACTCATCGGGTCCCGGGGACTTATTTTGTTTCAGTTTGTCTATCTGTAGTAGTAGCCAGTTGATGGTGAAGTAATAGACAATTGATGGTGGAGTAGTAGCCAGTTGATGGTGAAGTAGTAGCCAGTTGATGGTGAAGTAGTAGCCAGTTGATGGTGAAGTAGTAGCCAGTTGATGGTGAAGTAGTAGGCAGTTGATGGTGAAGTAGTAGCCAGTTGATGGTGGAGTAGTAGTCAGTTGATGGTGGAGTAGTAGCCAGTTGATGGTGAAGTAGTAGCCAGTTGATGGTGGAGTAGTAGCCAGTTGATGGTGAAGTAGTAGCCAGTTGATGGTGGAGTAGTAGCCAGTGATGGTGAAGTAGTAGCCAGTGATGGTGGAGTAGTACCCAGTTGATGGTGAAGTAGTAGCCAGTTGATGGTGAAGTAGTAGCCAGTTGATGGTGGAGTAGTAGCCAGTTGATGGTGAAGTAGTAGCCAGTTGATGGTGAAGTAGTAGCCAGTTGATGGTGAAGTAGTAGCCAGTTGATGGTGGAGTAGTAGCCGCGGACATAGAGTCTCAAAACTCCAGCCCGTCGCGTTAGCGACTAGACCAGCTAGCCACAATAAGATTCATCCAACTAGGTATATTTCTACACCATAGGAAGGTTAGCACAGGCACCTCTGTGACCACAAATGCAAGTTTTTACAGACGAATCTCCAGCTAGCGTGGCCGTGACGAACTCTAGCTCAAGTCCCTTCACTGCCGTCAACATGACTCAAGAAATCGTAATGACACGATTGCAAACAAACCATACCCCCGGCCGGGATTAAACCCGCGGTCATAGAGTCTCAAAACTCCAGCCCGTCGCGTTAGCCACTAGACCAGCTAGCCACATTAAGATTCATCCAACTAGGTATATTTCTACACCATAGGAAGGTTAGCACAGGCACCTCTGTGACCACAAATGCAAGTTTTTAAAGACGAATCTCCAGCTAGCGTGGCCGTGACGAACTCTAGCTCAGTTGATGGTGGAGTAGTAGCCAGTTGATGGTGAAGTAATAGCCAGTTGATGGTGAAGTAGTAGCCATTAAAATGGTATAAAATACCGACAGGTTGTTAGGTAAGACACATATGCAACAGTTAGGTATCTTTATTTCGAAACGTTTCGCCTACACAGTAGGCTTCTTCAGTCGAGTACAGAAAAGTTGATAGAAGCAGAAGAGACTTGAAGACGATGTAATCAGTCCATCACCCTTAAAGTTTTGAGGTGGTCAGTCCCTCAGTCTGGATTTGAGAGGGACCTGACCTCCCAACATCTGCGTTCTTACTTCCACTAGTGACTTACGTCTCACCTCCTGGCGCTATATAAGGCTCCATCCTGTCACTTCAACTCCATATTGTTTCAGACTATGAAACAATGCTCTTCTCCAGACTGAGGGACTGACCAACTCAAAACTTTAAGGGTGATGGACTGATTACATCGTCTTCAAGTCTCTTCTGCTTCTATCAACTTTTCTGCACTCGACTGAAGAAGCCTACTGTGTAGGCGAAACGTTTCGAAATAAAGATACCTAACTGTTGCATATGTGTCTTACCTAACAAGTAGTAGCCAGTTGATGGTGAAGTAGTAGCCAGTTGATGGTGAAGTAATAGCCAGTTGATGGTGGAGTAGTAGCCAGTTGATGGTGAAGAAGTAGCAGTTGATGGTGAAGTAGTAGCCAGTTGATGGTGAAGTACTAGCCAGTTGAAGGTGAAGTAGTAGCCAGTTGATGGTGAAGTACTAGCCAGTTGAAGGTGAAGTACTAGCCAGTTGAAGGTGAAGTAGTAGCCAGCTGGAATCTGGCTAAAATCCACTATGGCGAATCAATGGCTTAGTACAGCAACTTGTACTCTGAGTAGTGTCAAAATAAAGTTTAGAGTGTGCTGTGCGTCACAGTTGGAAATAACAGGACATACCAGTGACCTCTACAATAAATATGGAAAAAAACCAAGCTTCCAGTAGATATGAAATTCATTCAGAATCGAAAAATTGTAGTTTTCTGAGGAGTCACCGGATTCGAAGTGAAAATTGTTGGAGACACTGACTATGAGAAATAAAAAGCAAATTTGGCAATTTATATTTACTGTCCACGAAAATAAAAGCTGCTACGATATATATATATATATATATATATATATATATATATATATATATATATATATATATATATATATATATATGTATATATATATATATATATATATATATATATATATATATATATATATATATATATATATATATATATATAGGTAGAAAAAAAAATAATTTGATGCATGAGAAATACAAAGAAATCAAAGTTGTTGTTGGCCAGAAATATGTGCAGCGACTAAGGCAATAATTTTAGTTGAATAGATTTAGTAACTGTTGTCGTCAGTTGTTTCATGCTGTTGTTGTTTTTATTGTTTGTTGCTGTTGTTGTTAAGGGTTACCACAGCTTGTGTTGTTGTGGTCCATCGTAGGTTTTGGTTCATTTCTCGTTACTGTTGAATATATCACTGTTATTACGAATACTGTTGCTGCTGTTACTGTTATAGCAGCCGTTAGTTTATCCTGTTACTTTCCTTATCTTTCACTTCTGTTACTTCCGTAGGTAATGTTGGTATTTTAGTTACCTTATAATATACAAGTAACTGTTGTGTTGCTGTGTTTAAAACAGGTATGTTTCTGCTTTCTCAGTTTTTTTTTGTTGTATTTGCTTCTTGTGTTGTTTCTCTCGTGTTGTTCTCGTGTCGTAGAGAAACATCGTCATTTTCTCGTATCTAACTAAAATAGATGTTTATAATTTTTTTAACTTTGATGGAGACAGAAGTTGTGACGATGAGACAATAACAGATTGTCAGGAATCATCATTTACGAAACTTCTGATGAATTTTAAAGAAGAATCTTCAAATAATCATCAGGAAGATTCTTGAGTAATAGAGAAGAAAAGATAATCAGGGAAGGACGTCCGTGAATTTTCCATGTTTTCTCAGGGAGTTCCAGTGTTCATCAGGTGTGTTGACGTTTTAGTGGCCCTTTACCCGGAAGTTTTACTGAGACATTGTGAGAGCTTCTGAGTCTGTAAATGGAAACATGAAACCATAATGAAGATTATTTTACCAGAAAATTTAAGTGAAACAAGAAAGCTGATGATATAAGATTTTTGGAGGAAAGGAGAACCAGGGGAGACATTACAACACTGTACAAGATAACCAATATTTGACAGGACAGACAGAGAGACTGTTATAATGAATGTCATAGCCTGTCTCAGTCCACACACTTTGCTGGTTGTATCCACAATCTGCATCGACTAGATGAATGAACTATTTTTACAGAGGAGATTACAACCTCAGTTATGAAAATTCTTTTGAGTGGTAATACCTTTTTTGATATTGTATTCCATACTGTATTGTATACATTAACTTAGTAATTGTAAAATATGGAATGACAAAGACCCATTGTGACCTCTAATTTTGTTTTCTACGCTACCGCTGACAGGATTTGCTGCGGGTACACAATAAATTAGCCACACAACTAATCTATTCTTATGGAGATCAGGTAGTAAGAGACAGTAATGTTAACGGCACATCAGAGTTACTGAGATGTTATTAAGTTTTGTTTCAACCAGAGGGTAGTTTCGAAGTGGAATAAAGTATATTGTTTGGTGGTGGAAGAAAACCCTATACTCAGTTTTAAGGATAGTTACGACTAAGTCTGTGATGCAGGAGACATATAGCTGCTCTTTTACATTTAAGAGGGAAGATACAAAAATGAGAATCGAACCATTACAGTAATAATTATGTGGAGACTTTATTGACATGTCACGAGAGAGTTTAAAATTTTATCTTCACTTTGTTTCAACATTTGTGTCCAGGACACAAGACTTACCTCAGGGGTACTGAAGGAAATTTTCCAAATACAGATGTTATTCTCATTGTAAATACAACTAGTGAGGTAATAATTGCACGAATATATGCACGGACACACACACACACGGACACACACACACACACACACATACACACACACACATACACACACACACACACACACACACACACACACACACACACACACACACACACACACACACACATACACATGTTCCAGAGATGGGACACAGCAACAAGGGGTCACAGTTGGAAGCTGAAGACTCATATGATTCACAGGGATATTAGGAAGTATTTCTTCAGTCACAGAGTTAACAGGAAGTGGAATAGTCCGAGTAGTTATGTAGTGGAGGCAGGATCTATACATAGCTTAAAGAAGAGTTATGATAAAGTTCATGGAGCGGGAAGAGTGACCGAGTAGCGGCCAGTGAAGAGGCGGGGCCAGGAGCTGTGCACCCACAACTAGGTGAGTACACTCATACATATACTCACCATGTTTATTTGTGTCTCGAAGCAGGTCATCAACCCGGGGACTTGGGTACATAGTGTCGGTTGAGTCTTTATTGCCTTTTCCAAAGCTTCAATTGGCTGATCTGTTAAAATAATTATATTTGATTTTTTAAACGAGAGAATAGTTTTACGAGGTCAGTGGAAAAGACGAAAAGATAGGTGAAAACTGAGGTCAGGTCAAGTGACGTCTGCTTTGACGATGAGAGCATTTAACTCTGTTGATGAAGACTATAAAGCTGACCTTGGCTTTCTACTTTTCTCCCCACCTAATTGATCTTCAGATATTCTTAAATTTGATAATGGTCCAGAATGGACCGAAACCTTGTCTGAGGTTTCTTTTCCAAATCATGGTTTACTTGTAAATTCTTCTAGACGCGGTAAAGCAACTTATTTTTCAAAATAATAATAGATGATATCTGGACTCCAAGCTATAATAACTACAGCTACAATATTGACCAACGTTGATGGTGACGCTGATACTTACTTCGAGCTTTTGGAGGAACGGTGAAGCCCGCCGTGGAACTCATGCAGTTGACGATGGTTGCCTTATTGGCATTCATGATGTTTGTGCAGCAAGCCTTTATCTTCGGTTCCTTCTGTTTGCACTGGTTATCAGGAATTCCCACAGAAGTACAAATTTGTGCCTCTGAAGATAGGGAGATGGAAGTAGTTGACAGGGTTAGTTTGAATTTGTGGTGTTCCCCCTAAGCCTCTGCCATGAACAACATACACAAATAACCCGCACGTAAAAGAGAGAAGCTTACGACGACGTTTCGGACCGAAACGTCGTCGTAAGCTTCTCTCTTTTATGTGGGGGTTATTTGTGTATCGTTCCAGTCACGGTATTGTGCCTTTTTGTTATTTATGAACGACATAAGTTTTTGCCCTCAAGGTTAATAAACTTGATCACGACACACTGGATAACTTTATGATTAACCTAAGTTTTATTAGCTCCTTCACAATGTTGTTACACTAGATAACTTGACTGTCTAGCTAAGTTCTGACAAAACCTCCAGAATCCTATTATATTTGATGCGTTTACTGTCAAGACAACGTCACTCTACACCAGCTTTGCCCGGTTACATGATACTTACTCATATTTGCAATTGTTGTTGCATTGAAACATTTTTGAAAAGGTAATTCTCCAGTACCAGAACCGACGAACAGCACCAGCAGCGCCGCCGTCAGGATCAGAGAACCACACTGCTTCATGACTCAGCTGTCAGCACACTACTGGAGAGAGAATCAGAACATGACGGATCACCCAATAATCTGAAGGAAGATTAGACAGGAGGAGAATTTAGTGGTAAAGGCTTCGGGGACAACTTTAGCAACCCTTAAAACCTGGACGATCTTTTAGTCACCTCGAAAAAAAAACCTGTTGTCTGACATCTCAGTGTTGCAGTGTTGACAGTATTATGAGATGTTTCACCATCATACTGGTGATGGGCTTCTGTTGCAAGGAACCGCCTAATAATCCTTCCCTTCCTAAGTAAATATATGACGATAAATGCGTCTCCACCATAGTCCAGGACGGATCGAATTGTCATCTTAAGGTTCCGATCCTAAGTGCGGGTTTGAGGTGAAATATATTACTATTACGAGTTTAGCGTTACGCCGAAACTATAAGATTAATTCTCTTTTCCACACAGCTACATGTACAACCCAGTGATGGAGAACTCACCGACGGAGGCACGATCGAATTGTCATCTTAAGGTTCCGATCCTAAGTGCGGGTTTGAGGTGAAATATATTACTATTACGAGTTTAGCGTTACGCCGAAACTATAAGATTAATTCTCTTTTCCACACAGCTACATGTACAACCCAGTGATGGAGAACTCACAGACGGAGGCAAGATTTATAAGCGAGAAGAGCATTTCTAAACACAGGAGTTAAATGTGAATCACACATATAGTAAGAGTAAATCTGTAGAAGAGTTATTACGAGACAGATCTAAACAATGTATTGAATGGTAGACTTTGTCGATAAGTATAACAGAGGGTTGGTGCACAACAAACCTTTATATAGACAAAGTTGCACTCTGTAAAGAGCTTTATGAAGTCATGACTTAATAAAGCTCTACTCAGGGCTTCTCTATATTTAGTAACAATGGATACTGTGCAGGAGCGAGAACTCACCTGTAAGGAGCTCAGATGTTGAAGGATTTGTGTCAGCCGAAAGCCTCAAGCTGGTATATATATGCCTGTATCCGGATGTGTCAGTGCTATGTGCCACCGTGACACGTTACAACTGTCCTTGCATAAACTTTTCATTAAATTTGTCCTTTTGTCCTCCACACATTTTTTTATAGTTGCACCTAAATTTTTTTTATTACAGGAAGTCACTACTTTATTGATCAGTAATTTATGGTTTTATTTCTGATTTTACTCAGCATGGAAGGAAAAACATATATTATAGGCTCCAAAATTTCTTATAAATCTTATATAATTTTTGTTTTAGAGAATTTTTAATTTTTTTTTCAAAGACATTAATTTATGGTTCATTCCTACCCAAAAATATATGAATACACAATAGACCTAGAAAATAGGCCTTAAGACCATTAGCATGAATATTTATGGGCCTATATTATTGACGAATGTGATAGTTATTTAACCGTTTAAAGTTCCTGTTTATCTGTTCTGTTTATTGGCTAAAAATTTATCTTTATCAGTTAAAAGTTTTCGTTTATTTAAATTTTTTTTTTATATTTTTTAAAAGTTCGTTTATCTGTTAAAAGTTTCTGTTTATCTGTTAAAAGTTTCTGTTTATCTGTTAAAAGTTTCTGTTTATCTGTTAAAAGTTTCTGTTTATCTGTTAAAAGTTTCTGTTTATCTGTTAAAAGTTTCTGTTTATCTGTTAAAAGTTTCTTTTTATCTGTTAAAAGTTTCTGTTTATCTGTTAAAAGTTTCTGTTTATCTGTTAAAAGTTTCTGTTTATCTGTTAAAAGTTTCTGTTTATCTGTTAAGAGTTCTGCTCCTCTGTAAAAAGTTTATTTTTGTCTGGTAAAAGTTTCTGTTTATCCGCTAAAAGTCCCTGTTTATCTGTTAAAAAGTCCTATTTACTGTTGAAATTTTTGTTTATCTATTAAAAATATGTTTATATGTTTCTTTTATTTATTAAAAGTTTCTGTAATCTGTTAAAGTTTTTGCTTATCCGTTTAAAGTTTTAATTTAAATGTTAAAATTTCCTGTTTATCGGGTAAAACTTCGTTTATTTTTTAAAAGTTCCTGTTTATCTATTAAGTTTGTTTATCGGCTAAAAGTTTCTGTTATCTGTTAAAAGTTTCTGTTATCTATTAAAAGTTTATCTATTAAAGGTTTATGTTATCTATTAAAAGTTTCTGTTATCTATTAAAAGTTTATCTATTAAAGGTTTATGTTATCTATTAAAAGTTTCTGTTATCCATTAAAAGTTTCTATTATCTATTAAAAGTTTCTGTTATCTATTAAAAGTTTCTGTTATCTATTAAAAGTTTCTATTATCTATTAAAAGTTTCTGTTATCTATTAAAAGTTTCTATTATCTATTAAAAGTTTCTGTTATCTATTAAAAGTTTCTATTATCTATTAAAAGTTTCTGTTATATGTTAAAGGTTAACTTTCATGCATTAAAAATTTTGTTTATCCGTTAAAAGTTCTTAATAAGATATCATGAGAAGTGATAATGTTTAATACACTCTCTACCTCCACATTCTTCAGCATTTGGACAGTCATGAACATTGTGGTCAAGAAAGTAGAGATAATGTGGACTACATATTTAATATTTAGTTTGATCATGTTCTATGTATATTCTAAATTACCAGAAGTATTTATAACTATGTAAACCATACCACGGGTGGGATTAGAACCCGCGATCAGAGAGTCATAAAATTCCAGACCATCGCGTTAGCCACTGGGCCAGCTAGCTACAATAAGATTCATCCAACTAGGTGCCTATGCTAACCTTCCTATGGTGTATAAATATAACTAGTTGGATGACTCTTATTGTAGTCAGCTGGTCCAGTGGCTAACGCGATGGTCTGGAGTTTTGACTCTCTGATCGCGGGTTCTAACCCCACCCGTGGCATGGTTTGTTTGCAATCGTGTCATTACGATTTCGTGAGTCATAACCATGTAAGTCTGCCTTCAGCAACATTCGTCAATCTTTTGACATTTAAAGTTGCTCCATGAATATGCCTGTCTTCGTTGATGTTATTGCTTCGTTCACTGATGTTCCTTTCCTCTGACATTTAAATTCAATATTTAAGTTTTATTATAATATATCTAATGTCTGACACGGACATTTGGTTAATTTATGAGCCTTAGCATGCCGCAATAATTAATGTGAGATGAAATTCGTAAGTAGTATTTTCAGTCTCGTCAGTGGACTCACTGTTAGTTACGATAGTTCTATGGTTCCCTTTTCACTACCAAGAACCCTTTTTATTGCATTAATTTTTCGATGGACTTCAGGATTTTCAAAAGTCTGTCTACTCAACAAGCCAGTTTTAAAACTGACAAAAAACTTGTTTTCCCAGTTTCATCTCTCAATTGAAAGACAAACTTAATTGAGCATGCAATTAAATAACAGTATTAAGAAACTTACTTGTATAATGAGATGGTTGATGCTCCTTTGTTGGCACTATGTTCCGAATTTTAGGTCCAGTGGAAGACAGTTTTAATCCTTGATCAGGTTACATAATCATCCTGTTTCTGTAATTCGATCTCATAAAAAACAGATGGGAGAAAGCCTGATATGTAGTGGAGAATGGTGTTAAATATTTCTGTGCTTTGGATGTCAGTTCTAGATACTTATTTTTCACATGCATCCAAAAGTCTGATAAGTTTTACCTCAGTGAGGTGTCACACCAAAGTTCGACAAGACTATTTCCTGCATTTACAGTTAAATATTTAACACTTTTTATATCTGCATGAAATGGATACCTAATCCATTTTTCATTGGCATCAGGGAGAGGAAAATAATTCTTGAAACTATTCTTCAAAGCTTACAAGAGTAGAAGGTAAAGGTTTATTATTTCTTCAGACATGTCATCATCAGACGCTGCAGGAAAGTCACGGTGTTGAAAAGGCTTCAAACAGGATTCAAAATAGTTACAGCTCTCTCTTCTTGGCTCAAATTTAGACCATTCAAATATGTAAGACTGTCAGACATATGTGCCATCACAGCAAACCTCGAAAAGTTATTGAATCACCTGCTCCCATGGTAAGTTTTATCATGAAGAAATAATTGTATTTTATCAAGTAACTCAAATATGCAGGTAAGTACTTTACCTCGACACAGTTATTGCATTGAGAATGCAAGAACAGTTGTTCATTGACACTGCCCATCTCTTCACAAAGAACACTATAAAATATGGAAATTTAAAGGACAAGCTTTAACAAAACTGTAGTGAGTAATTATAAATTTTACGCTGTAGCCACTGGAAGTTATGGCCTTAGCTCACAGATCCTCAATACTACCTTCGAGGACCTTCAGGGGTCCGCGGACCACAGGTTGGGAGCCTCTGCAATAGTTTACATTTTTTAGGAAAATTTGGCTTGCTAAAAGTTACTTCGTACATTTTTCTTGATAAGTTGCCTTTGCAAATAATTTCAGAATGTGTTTACTGGTGAGTGGTTGCTACATAAAACGTACAAATATATGAGTACATCTTTCATGGAACAGTGAAATAATAATAATAGTAATAATAATAATAATCATAATGATAATAATAATAATAATAATAATAATAATAATAATAATAATAATAATAATAATAACAATAATAATAAAAATAATAATAATAATAATATTTATTTCTACAAGTACATAATACAACGTATAAAGATCATAGCTGACATCAATGACGACATAAATGAAATACTATATAGAAAGCCCCTGATTATGTAGAGCATTTCGAGCAAATTAGATTTTGTCCCCAGGATGCGACCCACACCAAACGGTTAACACCCAGGTACCTATATACCTCTAGGTGAAAAGAGTTAGCTGGTGTCTTAAGGAAACACTCCTGATGTTTCCACCCGGGAATCGAACCAGGGACCTGAATGTGTGAACTGAGTGCGCTACCAACCGAGCAGAGGTAATGTAGGTAAAGGAGCCTTCACCAGTCTCCCATGCGACTGTTTTTACAACAGTTAAATGCTGTTAAGGTAATCTGTACCATTGGACAACGAACAGCACCTCACAATGTACACACAAACACTAACACTCCTGTGGGAGTCAGTGTCGGGACACCTTTAGAACAAGACCCTCGTCAAGACGGTGTTTCTGACAAGCACACTAACAACAACATATTCACTCTCACAGGATACATACATCCAGAAGTGTATTTGTCTCCCTCTACATAAACCAAGTATTTACTTTAATCCCCATTTTAAGTATTAAAAGTATTCTTGCGTATTACCGAATGAGTGAGTGGCAACCTTAATGTCCCTTTGAGTAGATGATAGGCTTTTAAATCAATTAACTAACCATTCTTCCTCATTCTTGGACTCAAGCTCACGTACCCGGACTAGTGCATACTTTACCTTGGTGAGTCACTCATTGTGCCCACTTAGCTCATTGTACCATGAGGTCCGTGGCCATAGTGAGGCATCACACTGTACATGCTACACCAGTCCGTGTCTGAATTTGTTCAATATATTGTGTTAGTTCAGTATATTGTGTGAATTCAATGTGTTAGTTCTAAGTTGTTTTAATTAAAATAAATTATATGTTAAATGCGATTTGTGATTTCTTTCATGTTAATAATAATATGCCCTAAAAAAATGCGTGTTTGCTTGTCCCATATGATGTAACTGTTAACATATGGGTCTAACACATTTTCTTTGAAGAAGCTCTCTTCGTTAGTGCAGTAATGATATGGAGAGGCCTCGTATGCCCTAGATAGAGATGTTTGGTGGTGCGGAGAATGCTGGTAGTGGCGGCTGTTCCTATGGAGGTGACAAGTGACTTAGATTTACAAGCAATAGGCCTGCAAGTGCAACAAGGTTTAAGTGGCAAATTCCCCCTGTGTTAGGTAAACCTAACCTTGTGTTAGTCAAACCTCAGCTAGTGGTATTATTATTATTATAATCAAGGGGGAAGCGCTAAACCCGTAGGATTATACAGCGCCTGGGGGGGGATGTGGAAGGCATTCAGGCTTAATTCGGGGAACTGGAGCACAGATCCATTTCCATAAATCAAGAGCCCCTCACCAACATCAAGGAACCTTCCCTGAGGGGCAGCTAGTGGTAGATATACATATATGAAGTCTTGCTAGGTTAACCTACGCTCTAGTTAGGTAAAGCTAATTATTATTATTATTATTATTACAATCAAGGGGGAAGCGCTAAACCCGGAGGATTATACAGCGCCTGGGGGGGGGGGATGTGGAAGGCATTCAGGCTTAATTTGGGGAACTGGAGGTAAAGCTAAGCTTGGGTTAATAAACAAACAACCTGGAGTCCAAGAGGTCAAAGGAACAGGCTTTCATTACAAACGAAAATGATTCAGTACTGAATAAATTGTCGTTATCTGAGGAGTCCAGAACTTCCAAGTGAGTGTGAGAAGCTGTCTTTCAGACAATGATTAGAAGTAAAACACAAATTTGCCAATTAATTTACTATGCAACAATACAAAATTTAATTTATATATACGTACTATAAAATGGGTTAAAGTTTTTGGAAAAAAAAAATTAATTTCATGCAGGACAAATGCAAAAATATCAAAGTTGGTATTGGAGAGCAATATTTGCAGCAATAAATCTGTTAATTTTAGTTGTACAAATTTGGTAATGAAGTGGTGGGCTGCTGATCATTGTTGTTGTTGTTGGGTTTGTTGATGGTTGGTTGGTTGTTGTTAAGGGTTACTGCAGCTTGTCAATCAGGGAAGGACGACACTGAATGTACCATGTTTTCTCAGGGAGTTTCAGGGTTCATCAGGTGTGTTGACGTCTGAGTAGCGAATTTACTTGGTAGATTTATTGTTTGAGACAGGCCGACACTTTCTGAGGCTGTAAGTGCAAACATGAAAACATAATGAATATTATTTTAAAACAATATTTAATTATAGCAAGAAACCTGATGACCTAAGACTATTGTAGGAAAGGAGGACGAGGGGAGATATTAGAACAACGTACAAAATAATCAAAACACTTGATAGGATAAACAAGGATAGACTGATATAAGGCGGAAAAGTCTCACTAAAATGTTAAGTTGTGTACGAATGGTATATAATACCGACAAGATGAGAGTAAGACACATGTGCAACATCTGGGTATCTTTATTGTAGACGTTTCGCCATCCAGTGGCTTTATCAATACAAATTCCAGGACATAACTTGAAGACAGTAGAACTATGTACAGAAGATGAGGTAATCAGTCCCTCAACCTAGGAGTAGGTGCGAACAGCACCATAGTCGTGGAATTTGTATTGATAAAGCCACTGGATGGCGAAACGTCTACAATAAAGATACCCAGATGTTGCACATGTGTCTTACTCTCATCAAAATGTTAAGTATTGTTTCGACCATAGGGCAGTTATGGACGACTTACATTATTTGGTGGTGGAAGCAAAATCTATGCTACGTTTTAAGGATAGTTACGACTAAGTCTATGAAAAGTAAAAGGACACAAGTGCAACTAATGTGACATTTTATTGTGGCAACGTTTCGCTCTCCAGGAGCTTTATCAAGCCATTACAAACAATACATGGACACAGAGGGTATATAAAGGCTCTGAGCCTTTATATACCCTCTGTGTCCATGTATTGTTTGTAATGGCTTGATAAAGCTCCTGGAGAGCGAAACGTTGCCACAATAAAATGTCACATTAGTTGCACTAGTGTCCTTTTACTTTATATATTGTCGGTAATTCTACCAACTTTATTACAAGTCTTTGAAGCAGGAAACTATGAAGCTAGTCGATTGCATTGAAGAGGCCTGGTGGCTAAAGTTCTCGCTTCACACTGCGAGGGTCCGGGTTCGATTCCCGGCGAGGGTAGAAACATTTGGCGTGTTTCTTTACACCGGTTATCTATGTTCCTCATCAGTAAAATGGGTACCTGGGTGTTAGTCGACTGGTGTGGGTCGCATCCTGGGACAAAACTGACCTAATTTGCCCGAAATGCTCAGCATAACAAGCGGCTTTCTATATAGTAGTATGTCATTGATGTCAGCTAGGACTGTATACCTTGTACATGTACTTATAAAAATAAAGATTATTATTATTATTATTATTATTATTATTATTATTATTATTATTATTATTATTATTATTATTATTATAGATCACGAGAGATCTTGTGATTGGTTTGTCTTCACTGTGGTCAAACATTTGTGTCCAGGACCCACGACTTACCTCAGGGGTACTGGAGGAAACTTACCAATTCAGTCGTTGTTCTCATTGCAAATGTAACTACTGAGGTAATATTTGGACGGAAACACGAAAGCACTCACACGCGCACACATACACACAGACACACACACACATATACACACACTCACAGAATATGCAAAAGTAAGAAGGGAGGCCCAATGGCAATATGAGAATGACATAGCAGCGAAAGCCAAATCTGACCCGAAGCTGTTGTACAGCCACATCAGGAGGAAAACAACAGTCAAGGACCAGGTAATCAGGCTAAGGAAGGAAGGAGGAGAGATCACAAGAAACGACTGAGAAGTATGTGAGGAACTCAACACGAGATTCAAGGAAGTGTTCACAGAGGGGACAGAAGGGACTCCAGAAAGACGGAGAAGTGGGGTACGCCACCAAATGCTGGACACAATACATACAACCGAGGAAGAAGTGAAGAGGCTGCTGAGTGAGCTAGACACCTCAAAGGCGATGGGGCCGGATAGCATCTCTCCATGGGTCCTGAGAGAGGGTGCAGAGGCGCTATGTGTACCCCTAACAACAATATTCAACACATCTATCGAAACAGGGAGATTACGTGAGGTATGGAAGACAGCAAATGTAGTCCCAATTTTTAAAAAAAAGGAGACAGGCAAGAAGCACTAAACTATAGACCAGTGTCACTGACATATATAGTATGCAAAGTCTTGGGGAAGATTATCAGGAGAAGAGTGGTGGAACACCTAGAAAGAAATGAGCTTATCAACAACAACCAACACGTTTTCAGGGACGGGAAATCCTGTGTCACAAACCTACTGGAGTTCTATTACAGGGTGACAGCAGTAAGACAAGAAAGAGAGGGGTGGGTAGATTGCATTTTTTTGGACTGTAAGAAGGCGTTTGATACAGTTCCATACAAGAGATTAGTTCAAAAACTGGAGGACCAGGCAGGGATAACAGGGAAGGCACTACAATGGATCAGGGAATACCTGTCAGGAGGACATCAGCGAGTCATGGTACGAGGCGAGGTGTCAGAGTGGGCGCCTGTGACAAGTAGGGTTCCACAGGGGTCAGTCCTAGGACCGGTGCTGTTTCTGGTATTTGTGAACGACATGACGAAAGGAATAGACTACGAAGTGTCCCTGTTTGCAGATGATGTGAAGTTGATGAGAAGAATTCAATCGGACGAGGACCAGGCAGAACTACAAAGGGTGCTGGACAGGCTGCAGACCTGGTCCAGCACTTGGCTCCTGGACTTCAACCCCACCAAGTGCAAAGTCATGAAGATTGGGGAGGGCAAAGAGGACCGCAGACGGAGTACAGTCTAGAGGGCCAGAGACTACAAACCTCACTCAAGGAAAAAGATCTTAGGGTGAGTATAACACAGAGCACATCTCCTGAGGTGCACATCAGCCAAATAACTGCTGCAGCATATGGGCGCCTAGCAAATCGAAGAACAACATTCCGCCATCTTAATAAGGAATCGTTCATGGTGCCGCATGCTCCCATATTGGAGTACGCAGCACCAGTTTGGAACCCACACCTAGCCAAACACGTAAAGAAACTAGAGAAAGTGCAAAGGTTTGCAACAAGACTAGTCCCAGAGCTAAGGGGTATGTCCTACGAGGAGAGGTTAAGGGAAATCGACCTTACGACACTGGAGGACAGGAGAGATAGGAGGGACATGATATCGACATATAAAATACTGAGAAGAATTGACAAGGTGGACAATGTTCCGGAGATGGGACACAGCAACAAGGGGACACAGTTGGAAGTTGAAGACACAGATGAATCACAAAGATATTAGGAAGTATTTCTTCAGTCACAGAGTAGTCAGGAAATGGAATAGTTTGGGAAGCGATGTTGTGGAGGCAGGATCCATTCACAGTTTTAAGAAGAGGTATGATAAAGCTCATGGTGCAGGGAGAGTGACCCAGTAGCGGCCAGTGAAGAGGCGGGGCCAGGAGCTGTGAATCGACCCCTGCAACCACAACTAGGTGAGTACACACACACACAAACACACACTCACCATTTTTGTTTTGGCCTCAAAACACTCCATCACAGCCGGAACTTTAGCACACAGTGTCGGTTGTTTGATTATGGCTGCAGTCATTGCTGCAACTGGTGTGCCTGTCAAAACAAAAAAAAAATGTTATTGACTATAATAACAATATGACAATGGAATTAAAAAAAATGAAAATGAGAGGATAATTTACGTGAACGATGATTGCCTTATTAAGAAAAATCACACTAATAAAGTATATACAAATCCCAGTAAATATTTTTTTTACGATAGTTTGGATCTGCAGCTGTGGTGGAGCTACAGACAACTTATATGATGTCTGACGATATCCTTATTGTCTTACTGAAGTCTCTCAACTCAGGCAGACAGATTTCATTACTATGTATTAAACCCACCTTATGTAATGGAGAATTACATGGAAGACAAACTGGTTTTTATTGTCACTATTTACTGTAATTATTACATTGACTCGGGTAGCAACTCAATGCTTAACAGAAAACACGATTTGTAAATTTTTCCTGAATCATTATGAAGTCACTCGTGCAAAAGGTCAGTGGAAAAATGTCAGAATACGGGTGAGAGACGAGGTCAGGTCAAGTGACGTAAACTGACTTTGGCTTTCTACTTATTTCCTCACCTAATCCTCGCCGGGTCGCCAACTGGAGAAGACCCGGGCAGGAAGTACCGGCAAATCATTAATGAATGAATCCTCACCTAATCGATCTTCTGATATTTTTAAACTTGATAATAGTCCTGGACGGACCGAAACCTTGTGTGAGTTTTCTTCTCCAGATTTTGCCGAGTTGTGAATTCTTCTAATAATAATTCTAATAATTCTAATAATTCTTCATAATAATAATAGATATCAGGACTCCAAGCTACAACAACAACAGCTACGATATTTACCAACGTTGATGGCGCCGCTGATACTTACTTTTCAATAGTGGAGGGACGGTGAAGCCAGCCTGAGATTTCATACAGTCGGCGGCAGCCCCAGCACTGGCTTGTATGACGCTTGTGCTGCATTTCGCTATCTTACCTTCTTGGCTCTTGCATGCGGTACTTGTCAAGTTCAGATCAGCGCAGATTTCTGCCTCTGAACATAGGGAGATTAATATAAGTGGTTGAGAGGGTTAGTTTGAATTTGTGGTGTCCTCTCTAAGCCTCTGCCATGAACAGCATGGCAGAGGCTTAGGGAGAGTTTTTTACCTTCAAGGTTAATTAACTTCATCAGGACACACTGGACAAACTTTATGATTACGGTAAGTTTCATGGGCTCCTTCACTATGTTGTCACACTAGATAACTTCACTGTATAGCTACACTATGATAATTTCCTCCAACTTCTAGTAATATTTAATATGTTTATTGTCAAGGCAGCGTCACTCTGCATCAGCCTAGACGAATTATATAATACTTACTTATATTTGCAAGTGTTGTTGCATTGAAACAGGACGCAAATGGAAAGTTCTGAGCGGTAGCACCACCGACGAACAACACCAGCAGCGTCGCCGTCAGGATCAGATAACCACACTGCTTCATGGCTCAGCTATCAGCACACTACTGGAGGAAGAGACAAGATCAGAACATGATGGAGGACCCAATAATCTGAAGGAAGGTTAGACAGAAGGAGAATTTTGGTGAAGCCTTTGGAAACAGATTTAGCAACCCTTAAAACCTGGACGATCTCTTAGTCCCGTTAATGCCTAACACCTCTATGTTGCATCGTTAGTGTTGCAGTGTTAGTGTTGCAGTGTTAGTCTTGCAGTGTTGACAGCATTATGAGATGTTTCACCATCATACTGGTGATGGGCTTCTGTTGCAAGGAACTACCTAACAATCCTTCCCTTCTTAAGTAAATATATGACGATAAATGCGTCTCCACCATAGTCCAGGACGGATTGAATCGTCATCTTAAGGTTCCGATCCTAAGTGCGGGATTGAGGTGAAATATATTACTATTACGAGTTCAGCGTTACGCCGAGACTATAAGATTAATTCTCTTTTCCACACAGCTACACAACCCAGCGAGGTGCCACACATGATGGAGAACTACCGATAGAAACTAGATTTATAGGCAAGAAGAACATTTCTAAACACAGTAGTTCAATGCGAATCTCATATATAGTAAGAACACATCTGTAGGAGAGTTATTAGGAAACAGATCTAAACAGCATATTGGATGGAAGACTGTTGAAAAGTATAATAGAGAGTCTTATTGCACAACAAACCCACTCAGGGCTTCTTTACTTCTAGCAGCAGTGGATACTGGGCAGGAACCAGAACTCACCTGTACGGAGCTTAGATGTTGGAGGATGTGTCAGTAGTGAACCTAAGACCTGTATATATATATATGTGTATACCACAATCCGGATGTGGCATTTTTGAGTTTTGTCGTCGTCACATCCATGTCTCAACTGTCCTTGAAATTTTTTTTTCATTTATTTTGTGGTTTTGTCCTCTACACATTTTTTTCGTTGCTTCTAAATTTTGGCGATGGTAGGAAGGTATTACCATAATGTTCAGTAATTTATTACTTTAGGTCTGAAATTACTCCGCATTAAAGGAAGAAGCTATAGTGTTAGCTCCAGAATTTTGTTTAATTTTTTTTTTTAAGATTCCATATGATTTGTGTTTAAGAGAAATTTCAATTTTTCCTTTGAAAACATTAGTATATGGGTCATTCACATCTAGAAATATATGAACACACAATAGAGCTAGAAAATAGGCCTAAAGAGGGTTAACAAGAGTACCTTTGAGCATATATTATTGACAGTTGTTTTATTCGTTTATCCGTTTAAAGTTTCTGTTTATCTGTTAAACGTTTCTGTTAACCTGTTAAAGGTTTCCGCCTGTCTGTTAAAAGTCTGTTAATCTCTTAAAAGTTTTTGTTTATCAGCGTTCAAGAAAGTGGAAATAAAGTGACAGCAAGTTGTATATTCACTTTGTTCACCATCTATATCAATTCTCAGTTACCAGAAGCACTTATAACCAAGTGTAAATCTGTCTTCTGCAACATTGGTCAGTCTCTTAACACTGAAAGCTGCTTCGATAATGTGCTTGTCTTCGTACATGTTATTGTAGTTTACAGGTGAACTCTCGCTTGTATTTGCGTTCCTCTGACATTTAAATTCAATATTTAACAATTTTAATAATATATTTAACGTCTGACAGGTACTTCAGACGATGGATATCCCTGGCTGCTTTCAGAGTACTTTATTCGACTATCAGCCTTATGTAGGAATAATAATTGTGAGAAGCAATTAGAAAGTATTGACAACCTGACAATGGACTCCTGTCGAGATGCATCAATTAATAATTTTTTTTTTTTTTTTTTACACAGGGTTTGACAAGGTTAAGGATCCCTAGCTTTATTGACAGCTATTTACAGGTTAAGGATTCCTAACTTTAATGGCAAGCTAAGAGCTGTTACCTACATCAGCTCATTTGAAAGCATTTTTATTCTTATGAGACATACAAGTAGGAAACAGGATGAAGTTGGAGCCATCTGTGGGCCAGCATTTTCATTTGATCAACTGACTTTATCTCGTTGATATCATTATGCTGTACGAATGTGTTCCATACTCGAGTCATCCTGGGTATGTATGATCTCAGATGGAGTGATGTTCTGGAGAAGGGTACAGCCAGAGTGAAGTTGCTGCTTTCTGCCAGTCTTGTGACATAAAAGCTTGTTTCACGCTGTCCTCGAAGTGGATCCAAGTGTGGTATTTTGACAATATTTTGACAATATTTGTGAGAGTTTCTTACTAGCTCTTGAGTCCTAAAGTTTTCTTGATCAGTTGCCTTTGCAATTAATTTCAGCAACTGATTACTGGTGATAAGCTTCTTCGGTTACTCCATGAAAGGTGACCTTAGATGAGCACATCTTTCATGGGAGTGTGAAGTGTTCTTGTTATGTATATATATATGTTTCGGTCTGACTTGGACTAGTAACTGTTCACATGTTCATGTTTGTGTTTATGTTCATGTTCATGTTCGTGTTCATGTTCATGTGGGTTTGCCAGGACGGGTCCTGACCCGGGTTTTCTTCATATGGTGACCCGGCAGTGACTCCCGAAGGAATGTCAGAGTTTACACAAGTGATGCACCGTTTACAGCCCTATGGAGGGGGTAGCCCTATAGCAGGGGCACGGCAAGCGTTCTTGTCAAGTGGAATACCGTTTACAGCCCTATGGAAGGGGCAGCCCTATAACAAGGGCGCAGTGAGTCTTCTTCAGTGGTGTACCAGTTAGCTATAATCGTCTTCGACACTCTGGTGTCAGGGCTGGTGTTCACGCTGGTAAAAAGCTCTTCTCCATTTGAGCCTCTGCAGCCACCCGGGCCGCAGTCCGAGTGCCAGAGCCACTCAAGATGGTCTCAGGGTGTAAAATGATAGTAGTGGAAGTAGTAGTAGTAGTAGTAGTAGTAGTAGTAGTAGTAGTAGTAGTAGTAGTAGTAGTAGTAGTAGTAGTAGTAGTAGTAGTAATAGGGAATGCAATAAAGGCAGAGATGGCAATAAGAAGGGAGTAGCGGTAGTGACACAAGATTTAGAGATTAATATTAGTGAAGCATTGGTACAAATAGTAGTGGAGGTAGTCTAAGGACAAGAGAAAAAAGGAGCACTGCAGGAGAGCTAATGGCGCACGAAGAGGGGACAAAATCCCAGGAGGAAACTCATGGAACAGAGCCCACCTTGACAAAGGTCTGTTGCCACAATAAAGTGTCGCATTAATTACACATGTTCTTTTACGTAACATCTGTTAGTTGAAGATTCAAGAAACCAGAAACGCCTTTATGGAAGTAAATAATGCTTCCTTCACAGGTAGTGAACTTTCGCAAATGAATCTATTAAATAAAAGACATACTTATATACATGTATAATAGCATGGAGAAGCGGGTCAGGTGAAGGCAGAGAAGTGGCCAGCGCATTACAGTATGTAGACCTACTGCGGGGCTCAGTTACCCGGGAATGTTGATACGATGTGGGCGAGGGGCAAGTCTACATTGAAAAATCCCCTCTGCTTTGAGGAATGGTGTCTAAAGTTTTAATTAAAGCTGGTCCAAAAATTTCCTGCTGTGTGGTTTTCTTTAGCATTGTTTAGCCTGTTCCCAGCCTGTAAGATGCGAGAATGTTCCCGTGTACGGCACTAATACGGCTTTGAGTTGTTGGTACCTCAGGTGTTCGTGTTTGTCAACACACGGAGAGACAACATTTCTATTAAGACCCTGTGAACCAGTCCCAGTTTGTGGCTTTCATTAAATTATCCATTACTCTTACATTCACGAAAGCGCTAAACCCGTAGGAGTCATACAGCATCGGGGGAGGGGGGGGAGCAGAAGGGGTGATTAAACTCATTCATACAGACACTGGTTACCTAAACTGTAAGATTTCTTACCCTTGTACTACACACTAACCCGCAACACTGAATAAATTCACCATCAAATTTAACTAATCTTTTTCATCCCTTTACATGGATAAGTACACTGTCATGGCAGCTTCTGCACTCTACACTCTACCATAATTACACAATTACCAAAATTATCGAAAAGTTGCGTTTTTTATTTTCAATCATGAGTCAGAAGTTTGGGAGTCATTGTTTGACTTTAGTTTGGTATCCAGTGTTAAAAAATGTATGTTAAATTTGTAGTAGCTAAATATAAATTTGATTAACTTTGATTATTATTATTATAATCAAGGGGGAAGCGCTAAACCCGGAGGATTATACAACGTCTGGGGGGGGATGTGGAAGGCATTCAGGCTTAATTCGGGGAACTGGAGCACAGATCTAATTCCCTAAATCAAGAGCCCCTCACCAACATCAAGGAACTTTCCTTGAGGGGAAATGATTAACTTTGAGCTTTCGTAAGCTGAAGAGATGCTATAGATCAGAGGTCGGGGAAGGGGGGTAAATTGCCCCAACTGGGATAATAAAAATCTCGTGGGTAATGAACGCTCAATTAACATAAATAAAACTGCACAAAAATTTTATGTTTTATTTTTAATTTTGTGTTTTATCTCGTATAATAAAAATTTCTCAGCTTGTATGACAGCATTCTCCATAAAAATAGATCCAGTAAACTATTTTGATTTTAAATGCTCCTTGTGTTGTCCGGATTCTGTGGACTTTCAAGTCTAGTGGGGAATTTCGATGTTTACAAATTTTTTATGGGGTAATACCCAAAAAAGTTCGCCGACCTCTGCTGCAGATGTGTTAGTGTTGGTGACTTAGAATTGCTGCGATGTCTCATTCAAACAGATGTCAAATGGGTTCTCCTGGGGTGGGACAGCACCGACGAACAGCACCAGCAGCGCCGCCGTCAGGATCAGAAAAGTTGATTGCTTCATGAATGGATCACCTGATGGAAGGGAAGACGGGAAGAAGGATGATAATATGATGGAACACTCAGTTCTTGAAGAGTTCTGGACCTAAGAAACTGGAGCTGCTCTAACTCCCAATAACAGGCGCTGTATGACCCCTACCAGTCTAGTGCTGCTTCAAAAATATTATACAGTAATACATAAAAAATGGGAACTATATGTTCACTTGCAACAGAGTACGTCTGTATGGGAGTTACATTACAAATTAGTGCAGTTTAAAGTCGTTTTGAACCTAGAGCTGAAGGTTAGAGGACCGGAAGAAGTGGAGAGCCTGGCTAGGTGTTGGATGTATATATAGACATTTATTTATGCTTCTTTCCATATGTGTTCTGAGAGCTATCATCATGACTTACAAGTTCCAGCTACCCTTGATTTTTTTTTTAAATTGCTACACTAGCTCGTTGTTAATGCCTGTTTCCCGGTCATGGCGGATGTTATTGTGTATATGTACATATACACATATATACCTCTTTCCGGATGTGTTCTGAGACCTATCATCATGACATGTAAGTTCCAACTATCCTTGAAATTTGTTTTGAAATTGTTACACAAGCTTGGTGTTAAGGCCTGTCTCCTGGTCATAGCAGGATGTATTAGTATATCTTTAGTTCTGAAGCAGCTTCAAGTGGCACGAACTGCCAAGTTTTGAGACCCATAAGTTTTTCTGAAACTCCAGATATGCCACAAGTATGGTAAAAATACTACATGGAGACCAGTCCTTTAAATCTTATGTAGAGGAAGTCATATCACACAGGCGTACAACTGGGTCCTTTATGGACCCAGTTGTACGCAGAGTGAAACAGTGTGAGCCACTCAGGATAATCGTCACTCAGACGGGAAATGTGGGTTGGTAGTAATTCGCAGTATTTTGCTGACCAGGTCTTGTCCAGTTGGTGACCCGGACTTGAGTGTCTTGAGAAACACGTCTTCCATGG